GAGGAACCTCCATACAGTTGTCCATAGTGGCTGCACCAATTTATGTTCTCACCAACAATGTAGGATTGTTCCCTTTTCTCCATATGATCCAGCAATCCCAATCCTGGGTGTATATCCGGACAAAACTATAATTCGAAAAGATACATGTACCCCTATGTTTATAGCGGCCTTATTCACAATAGCCAAGATATGGAAACAACCTAAAAGTCCATTGACAGATGAATGGATAGAGAAGATGTGCTATATATACACAATGGAATACTACTCAGCCATAAAAAAGAATGAAATAATGTCATTTGCAGCAACATGGATGGACCTAGAGATTACTATACTAAGTGAAGTAAGTCAGAAAGAAAAAAAACAAATATCATATGATATCATTTACATGTGAAATCTAAAATATGACACAAAATAACCTATCTATGAAACAGAAACAGCCTCACAGACATAGAGAACAGACTTGTGGTTGCCAAGGGGAAGGGGAGGTGGGGGAGGGATGGATTGCAAATTTGGAAGTAGCAGATGCAATCAATTATATATAGAATGGATAAACAACAAGGTCCTACTGTATAGCACAGGGAACTATATTTAATATCCTGTGATAAACCATATTGGAAAAGAATGTGAAAAAGAATATACATATATACATACATATATATATCTGAATCACTTTGCTGTACAGCAGAAATTAACACAACATTGTAAATCAACTCTACTTCAATAAAGTAAATTAAAAAAAGAACATAACAGCAGGGTGACATTCAAGAAGGATCTATCTGCTTTTAATGTGAACATTTTTTAGTTTGCAAGTTCAGACTTTGTTTTAAAATGTGAACACAGCAGAAGATTTTTTTCCAGGTATATTTCTGCCTCTAGCAGAGTAGCTGTCCATAGTATAGTTTTAACTGCAAAATAATAAAGCACAGGTCGTGGAGCTTGATTTTGAAGACTTGGGGTCAAGTCTTGGCTTTACCATTTACTAGCCCCCAAATCTTAGACAGTTGTTTGACCTCCCTGACCCTTAGTTTCCTCAGTGGACAATTGGGAAATCTTTTTCATAGGGCTGATGGACAGTTGAAATGAGGTCTTGGGCATTAAATTGGGGTTTTTACTACTGTCTGGCTCATCAATTGGATTTGAAGGACATTTTTAGATAGCGGTTCCAAAGAGTTTGCTTTTGGTGGAAAATGCATGGATGTATAAGTTTTCAGGCATGTATTTTATTTTGTTTTATTTTTTGGATGACAAAATAAATGAATTTACAGTCAGGGGACACACAGTATCTAGCAGGCCTAGTGAACATACATGGCTTATAAGACTCAGTTATAGTTCTAATAAATTAGAACCACAGAACCATAGGCTTTGCGAAATTGTAGATAGAAGCTTTGGAAGATGAGGGGGTGAGAATTGATTAATGCACACTGCCTGCAGGCTCTGTGCTTTGCATGCTGGGTACAGCATCCCAAGAAATGATTTCATATACCCTGATGGGTAGATGATACTAGCCCCACTTTGAAGACAGGAAAGCTTGAGCTCAGGGAGGTTAAATAATTTACACAGGTCCCATAACAAAGCCTTGAACTTCGCCCTGTACTTGTGATGGCCTCTAGAAATCCTTTCCATTTACAGAAGTGACAAGACCTGCCTTTATCCCTTCATTCCAGGGCAGCCACAAGTTCTGGGCCAGATAAAGCAATGGAAATCGGCAGTCTTAATGTCCCATAACTTGTTTAATGAGTCTAGAAGAGTGTCTTGACTTTTCCTGCCAGGAATCTGCTCATTTGGAGCTCCTTTGACTGTGCTCATTCGAATATCAGCCTTTACTTCTCTTTCTCCCTTTTGGGGAGATATTTGCCATTGGCCAGCTGCACTTTTGAGGTCAGGGGTGTATTTGAAGATGACTTCATATTTTCTTTAAGAAAAAAAAATTACAGGTGGAAATTAAATCTGTTGAGCATTTCCCATCATCTCCTCCAACATGTGGTAGTGGGAAGAGGCAGCGCGGGGCTGGGAGGTAGGGAGTTCTCACCTGGCGCCTATCACTGACCAGTGAGAGGACTTGGGCCAAGCCTTCCTTTCCCTTTCAGGGTTTCAACGTCTTCATCTGTAAACAGCGAGGGCACCATCAGGTGACTCCTAAGATTTTAAAACTCTGCATGTCTTGTGGTGTCAAAACCATCAATTTCTGCTGAGCTGCGTAATCCTGCAGCTGTTTCTCTGCTACTTTTCAATCTTCAGGTTTAATCTATCCAACAATGTATAATTTTTTAAAGGGAAGCTTTTATAGACACTTCTGAAAATAAAATGGGGGGGAATAAATGGATGTTAAAAAATAGAAAACAACCAATTAAATGGTGTATAGTATGTAATTCTCCTTGGAAACTTACAGAGAAATCGAGGCGCACTTTAACAACTGGTAATTTAAATTGCATTTGAACTCTGCTAATGGTTTGTTTGCATGAGAACTTCAATCATTTCACAGTGGTTTTTTAGCAGAACTGCTTGTTCTCTTTATGGAAAAGAAGAAAAAAAATTGTTAGAAGAAAACTTGACAGTGGAAAAGGGTAACCCTGTTCATTTGTGCATGGAGAGAAGCTAGCCAGTGCCTGAGACATTGCCCCAGGCCCAAGGTGGAGAGCTTTACCTTTCAGCGAGGTTTGAAAATCTGGGAAGTCAGCTGCTCTTTGCTGCTGTTGTAGAAACGGTATGATTGATATCTCCCTCTGCAAGGAGAAGCTTAGGTTTCCTGGGGCTTGGAGGTGGGGTCTTTTTGTTTTTATTTATTTATTGTTTTTGAGATTTTACTGTTCACAGAGCCAGCGTTGGACTCCTCACATTCCATCCCCTCAGCAAGTTTGAAATTATGCCTTTCTCTCATTTTAGTGAGATGGCTTTGAAATTTCGAATGCCCGTCAAGAGCGCTAGCTCTCAGGAAACACATTGCTTTGCTGGACTCACCTTGATTATACTCCATTTTCTCAACTTAGTCTCTTTCTGCTGTTGGGCTATATGCAAAAACTTTTTTTTCTTTTTAACATCTTTATTGGAGTATAATTACTTTACAGTGGTGTGTTAGTTTCTCCTGTATAACAAAGTGAATCAGCTATACATATACATATGTCCCCATATCTCCTCCCTCTTGCATCTCCCTCCCACCCTCCCTATCCCACCCCTCTAGGTGGTCAAAAAGCACTGAGCTGATCTCCCTGTGCTATGCAGCATCTTCCCACTGGCTGTCTATTTTACATTTGGTAGTATATATATGTCCATGCCACTCTCTCACTTCGTCCCAGCTTACCCTTCCCACTCCCTGTGTCCTCAAGTACATTCTCTCTGTCTGCGTCTTTATTCCTGTCCTGCCCCTAGGTTCTTCAGAACCTTTTGTTTTTTTTTTAAGATTCCATATATATGTATTAGCATACGGTATTTGTCTTTCCCTTTCTGACTTACTTCACTCTGTATGATAGACTCTAGGTCCATCCACCTCACTACAAAGAACTTGTTTATTTTTATGACTGAGTAATATTCCATTGTATATATGTGCCACATCTTCTTTATCCATTCATCTGTCGATGGACACTTAGGTTGCTTCCATGTCCTGGCTATTGTAAATAGTGCTGCAATGAACGTTGTGGTACATGACTCTTTTTGAATTATGGTTTTCTCAGGGTATATGCCCAGTAATGGGATTACTGGGTCGTATGGTAGTTCTATTTTTAGTTTTTTGAGGAACCTCCATACTGGTCTCCATAGTGGCTGTATCAATTTACCTTCCTACCAACAGTACAAGAGGGTTCCCTTTTCTCCACACCCTCTCCAGCATTTATTGTTTATAGATGTTTTGATGATGGCCATTCTGACAGGTGTGAGGTGATACCTCATTGTAGTTTTGATTTGCATTTCTCTAATGACCAGTGATGGTGAGCATCCTTTCATGTGTTTATGCAAGAGCTTTGAAGCGGGTGTTCTGAGGTCTGGGTGTGTAAGTCCTGGTTTTCCTCTGAAGCTGATTGCGTGGCTGATGGCAGGTCTCTTGCCAGCGAGTGTCGGTGACCTCTTCTGTTACAGTGGCCGTACCTCGGTCCAGTGGAGCGAGCCCCGGACTTGAGCCCTGGGCTGCCTGCCACTCACTAATGGTGTGCTCCTGCGTGGCCACCTCCCTCCTCTGGCCCCCAGGTTCTTCTCCTGTCAGTTGGAAGAGTTGAAGTGGGTCATTTTTAAGGTCTCTCTCAACTTTGAGCTTGTACAGGTATTTGAAGATTGAATGGGATCATATTCACAAAACAATTGTATGATTGGTTCAATACTGTTTAAAATGACAGCAATGAAAATGGGAGTAGTCATTTTTCTGGTATGTGGATTTCCCCTGTGGCTACAAAAGACACATTTTGTAACAACCAGCTACCCTGGAATACTTGTCTGTTGGAATATATATTGCAGAATCCATAGCAAAATACTGATTGTTCTTAATGAAATAAAGTCCTCCAGTAATGAGGACTTCCCAGGAAGCTTCAAGGTTGTCCAGCCCTCTGCTGCTCACTGGCTCTCATGTTTTGGGCAAGAAAACTGAGGTTCACAGCGGCCACTAGATCCCATAGTTAGAAATCTATCTCCAAACTCATACTCCTTGTCTCTTTTTATTTATTGTAGTTCAGATTTTGCTGTTAATTTTTTCTTGCCTAAAATGTGAGTATCTAATTGATCTATCTCTTTCACTTCTGATATTATGATGAAGCCATATTCCCCCCGAAAGCTGAGGTATGAACACTGGGGTACCAGCATTCTCTTTCCTCATCATTCTAAGGCACATTAGTGAAATAGAAGTGCCAGGAGCTGACTGGCCGCTTAGGAGATACCGAGGTCAGCCACTAGATTTGCGGGTTTCAAGCCTGGTCTTCATTCCCAGTATGGTTTACCCAGTAAGTTCATAAACTTGGGAAGTTCTACAGCTGGTAAGATCCTAGAGATTCATAAGCAACCTTCTTCTCCCATTTCCACAGGTGGGAACATTGAGGAAACGGAACTGAAGACAGAATCCAGTCACCTGATTCCAGTTCATTGCTTTCTCCGTTGTTCTTCAGGACACTCATCGGAGGGAAGATATTTGTCCGCAGTTGGTGAGTCCTATGCAAAGAAGAAAACTTTTTCCTTTTGTAATCAATATGCATATTTTTATGAGTTTTAAAAAGCAGTGGTTTCCATTTAAAGCATGGGCACTGGTAACTAGGATGGGCTAAGAACTAAGAAGAACAAAAATGTTCTTCTTGTCTTCTTGAGCCGAGTTCATTGGCAATGGACAGGATATAATAATGCTAATAGAATGTGTGGCAAAGCAAAGGCAGGACTCAGCTCTTGGAAGGTGGAAGGAAGAGAAATTGGAAGAAGATTTGGACGAATGAGGATTTTAGATTGCCAATAATTGCATTGCTTCCTTCTTTCTCCTTTGTCATGGAGGGAAGTGTTCTTGAAATTGAAGGACCAGAAAGGAAGTGTCAATGAACAGTGTTGTGGGCGTTTCTGAGGAAAAGAAGTAGTAGTATTGAGCGGCTCTTGCTCTCCCCGGTGCAAGATGCTTCTTCTGTGATCTTACTGTATTTTCACATCAACCCTTTGAGGTAGGGGAAGCTAAATTCGCTTAGTCAAGGGTGTGCACCTGTGTCTTAAAGGGCCTGCACGGGCTCCACAGGGATCTGAGTTTGAATCTTGGAATCCTGTTGCACACTCAGAAAGGAGAATGGTGAGCAGGTAAGGGAAACCTTCCCTTGTGTTTTGGAATTCCTCTGTGTTTATAGTAGGTAGAACATCGTATTCTAGAAAAGAATCGATGGTGTGGGATACCCTGGGCTGTAGGGGGATCTGAGGAAAATAGCTGGGGGATTCTGGGAAAGGCTTCTGTTTAGAATTCTAGATTTTTGCTCTCCATCTCCAGGGCCAGTCCCTATATGCCCCACCTCTGGCTTTTTACCAGATAAATAATATGTGTTGCCATGTTTATGGTGTAGTTTTTCAAAAGGGAGCAGATGCTGTTGTGATCCATAAAACCTAATTTCATTTAAAAAAGTATGGCTGAGTTTACAGTTACATTTTGTCACCCTTTGTTTTCTTAATCAATGTATCTTTAAAGAACACCCAGTGTTCTTTGCACCTATGGATCTGCATAAGATGAAAGGCTGGAAACCACTGCTTGGACTCTGTTAACATTTCAAACATGGTCTGAGATGTTTTGCCCCAAGCATATACTTTGAGCATCAGATGTAAACCTTTGTTCTTCGCTCTACTGCCTGAGTTTTTTCAGTGCTTAAAATTAAATTGTGATGAATATGAAGCCTTGTACTTGGATTCAAACAAAAAATCGAGTGTGTCGTGACAGAATGGGAGAGAGCACCTTACCAGGAGCACGTTGGAAGAAACTCAGAAGCGTCTGTTGTCCATAAGCTAATTATGAGCCAGCAGTGGTCTTCCAAAACACTGATGCAGCCTCAGATTGCAGTACAGAGAGAACGACGTGGGTGGGTGACCCTGCCAGAAGCTGGCAAGTCCCGAGGTCAGGTGGGCCTTAGGCTCAGTTTGAGCAGGACCTGGGCTCCATTTCTCTGCAGTGCTCCTTGCTCTGCCCTCTTGTGTGTGTGTTGCCTTCATCCTCAGGATGTTTCCCCTCTTGGTCACGAGCTGGCTGCCTGCTGTCACCTGGAAGCTTATGGCAGCTACACAGTGGAGAAGAGGTGGTTCCTCCAAAGAGTATGTGAGTGCTGATAGGGGGCAGAGAGAGGACTAAGGCTTTGTGGGTGGTCATAAACCTTTTTTCTACCCTCCTGTTGGGGCTCTCCTGGGGTGTTGAACTTTAGTCCTTGCCTCCTCCTCTGAAAGGGACGTTAGCCAACTGGCCGCTCCACACTAGGATGCTGAGAGGACCGGAAATGATGTCCCACTGTTACAGGAATGAGACCGGTAAAGGCAGGATGCAGGGCACATGTGACAATGGCCTTTAAGAATATAAAATGCAGTCAGAAGAGGGGTAGCATCTCCTGCTCATATGTGTAGCTCCACAGGCTAGTAGGATCTCTGGCACATAATAGGTGCACAGTGCATTTTCCTGGATAGAAATACTAAATCCAAAGGTAGTGACTGGCCCTTTTCCTGAGGGTGTTCTATCAGGTGCTGGCCAATTCTCTGTTGGAAAGCTTTAGGAATTCTAGCACAGATGAGGCTGAACTTCATGGTTTTATGAGAATGAAACAAATAACTGGACAGAAATAGGCTTCTGGGACCAGTACACCTTAAGAAGTTTGCGAGTGCATAAAAAGGCAGTGAGTATGGTGGCATGGGGTATCAGAAGACCTGCCAAATATTAGATGTGCAACCCTAGAAAACAACATCCCTCCACCTTCATTCCCCTGATCAGAGAATTAGGAATAATAATCGTTGTCCTGCCCACCTCTCGTGTTTGTTTAGAGCAAGTGGGTTGATAGATGCCAACTTGTTTTGCAAACTGTAATCCATACATGATAGGTCATTACACTTGTCTTTAGTTTCAACATAAAGAATATAAAGAAAAATAAGACATTGACAATAAAGAAAAATATTGATCTTGAATATAAAGAAACGTGAGACAGTGGAATGTGCAATCCCCTGCACTGTTCCTGGTGCATAGTATATGCTCAGTATGTGTCCTTCCTTCCAACTCTGTACCCACATCATCCCTAGGACTGGATGGGCAGTAATTTGTCCTCAGTCTTGGAAAGGAGCTAGATCTGGAACCTAGCTTAATGATCATGGTTGAAGTTGAGATGAAGTTGTGTATCATGATTACTTTCCATATTTGTTTTTGCTCTAGGCAGCAGGAGGTGGAGGGAAGTAGATTCAGAGACTGAGGAAGTCTCAGTGCTTTGAGAAATTCCCTAGAAGCTATAGTCCAGCCATTTGGGACTTGCGTTGTTTGAGTAGATAATCACACCTGCTCTAGGCATGACTGGCCTAGTGGGAGTCAGGAAGGAAATTATTTCCCTCTGTTGATACTAGCGTACAATTGTTGATGGTAGCCAAGGGCTTTCAGTTTTAATATTTCCTCTTTGGTCCTCAGAAGAATCAGGTATTAATCTCTGCCGGAAGCAAAGCATTGGTCACTTCCGCCAGAGGTGAAGGTCTTGGCTCCCTGCAGCCTGTCAGTCAGGTGATTTCTGCGCATGTGTGACCATCTGTGTAGCCAGCTTTAATGCTTTTATGTTACTGCTTCAAAAGTTACAAAAGGATTTGTTGGGTCTGAGCAGGGACTCATCCAGACTCCTGAGGCCCTGTGGCTGTTCTGTAACCAAGGGATGAGTTGTCGGAGATGTTTTGCTGTCTATGTAAGTAGAAGGTGGAGCTGGCTCTTTTGTTTCCTTCCTCCTAATTCCACATGCTTCTACTTCCTGACCTCAGCACAGTGGACACACTTGTACTCTACCTTGGGCAGAGCCCTAGGTTGTCAGGAGTTCTCAGGTTCTCCCCCATTGGGCTACTGTGTGGTGGAGGGGGGCTGATGGCGAATGGATGGAGAGCCCCCTGAGTCCTGTATAGATTGCTGCCAAATATTTACTCCTGGTTCACAGGGCATGTGCTAGCTCTCTGCCCAGGTCTTTTTTTTTTTCTTTAACATCTTTATTAGAGTATAATTGCTTTACAATGGTGTGTTAGTTTCTGCTGTATAACAAAGTGAATCAGCTATCCATATACATATATCCCCATATCGCCTCCCGCTTACATCTCCCTCCCACCCTCCCTATCCCACGCCTCTAGGTGGTCACAAAGCAGGGAGCTAATCTCCCTGTGCTATGTGGCTGCCTCCCACTAGCTGTCTATTTTACATTTGGTAGTGTGTATATGTCCATGCCACTCTCTCACTTCGTCCCAGCTGACCCTTCCCCCTCCCGGTGTCCTCAAGTCCATGCTCTCCGTCTGCGTCTTTATTCCTGTCCTGCCCGTAGGTACTTCAGAACCATTTTTGTTTTTTTTTCTTTAGAGTCTGTATATATGTGTTAGCATACGGTATTTGTTTTTCTTTTTCTGACTTACTTCACTCTGTATGACAGACTCCAGGACCATCCACATCACTACAAATAACTCAATTTCATTTCAGTTTAACTGAGTAATATTCCATTGTATATATGTGCCACATCTTCTTTATCCATTCATCTCTTGATGGACACTTAGGTTGCTTCCATGTCCTGGCAATTGTAAATAGAACTGCAGTGAACATTGTGTTACATGACTCTTTGAATTATGGTTTTCTCAGAGTATATGCCTAGTAGTGGGATTGCTGGGTCATATGGTAGTTCTATTTTTAGGTTTCTAAGGAATCTCCATGCTGCTCTCCATAGTGGCTGTATCAATTTACATTCCCACCAAAAGTGCAAGAGGGTTCCTTTTTCTCCATGCCCTCTCCAGCATTTATAGTTTGTAGATTTTTTGATGATGGCCATTCTGACAGGTGTGAGGTGATACCTCAGTGTAGTTTTGATTTGCATTTCTCTAATGATCAGTGATGCTGAGCATCCTTTTGTGTGTTTGTTGGTAATCTGTATATCTTCTTTGGAGAAATGTCCATTTAGGTCTTCTGCCCATTTTTGGATTGGCTTGTTTGTTTCTTTGATATTGAGCTGCATGAGCTACTTGTAAATTTTGGAGATTAATCCTTTGTCAGTTTCTTCATTTGCAAATATTTTCTCCCATTCTGAGGGTTGTCTTTTCATCTTGTTTCCTTTGCTGTGCAAAAGGTTTTAAGTTTCATTAGGTCCCATTTGTTTATTTTTATTTCCATTTCTTTTGAAGGTGGGTCAAAAAGGATCTTGCTGTGATTTATGTCATAGAGTGTTCTGCCTATGTTTTCCTCTAAGAGTTTTATAGTGTCTGGTCTTACATTTAGATCTTTAATACATTTTGAGTTTATTTTTGTGTATGGCATTAGGGAGTGTTCTAATTTCATTCTTTTCCATGTAGCTGTCCAGTTTTCCCAGCACCGCTTATTGAAGAGGGTGTCTTTTCTCCATTGTATATTCTTGCCTCCTTTATCAAAAATAAGGTGACCATAGGTGAATGGGTTTATCTCTGGGCTTTCCATCCTGTTCCTTTGATCTCTATT